AAAAAAGGTATAAATTTAACTTTTTAAAATAAAGTGCAAATTACGTCCTTGGTGACTTCACCCTTTGCCTTGGCACAAACTCTTCCCAAAATGTCCCCTAAGGCGGAACAATCTAGATCACACTTGGCTCCACTTTTACTATTTTCTTAATTTATTGATAGTTTTTCTCATCATAATTCCATTACATAAGGAAGGAATCCCACAACCTCAGTAATCAGAAGTGAAGTCTCTATAAATCAGCCTTGATGAGAGAGAAAATAAGCTAGGAGGCTGGGCTCAGTCGCTCACACCTGTAATCCCAGCACTTTGGGAGGTTAAAGCAGGAGGATCGCTTGAGGCCAGAGTTCGAGACCAGCTTGGATAACATAGTGAGATCCCATCTCTAAAGAAAAAAGTAACCAGGCACAGTGGCACACACCTGTAGTTCTAGCTGCTCGGGACATTGAGGTGGAAGGATCACTTGAGCCCAGGAGTTCAAGATTACAGTGAGTTATTATTGCATCACTGCACTCCAGCCTGGATGGCAGAGTGAGACCCTATCTCTAAATATATATCTGTATATACACACATATATATACAGGCTAGAAATTCAGATTTTTCTTAAAACAGAAATGTGGATTTTTATACGAAAAATGATAGCTAATTTACTTTTTAAAAAAACAATGTGTGAGCCTCTATTTGACCAAGACCTAAACTCTACTTGGTTAAGCATCCACTATACTCTTGACGTTCCTCACGTTTGTTGTCATAGGGATGCAATTCTTTCCACAGAAAATCTTGCCTGCTTTTTTTTCCCTGTTCTTTCTCCCCTTTTTCCTCCCCTTTCTTTCCATTTATCTTCTTTCTTTCATCTATCTTTACCAAGATAATTTTCCTTCCAACAACCTTGTTACCCATTCCTTCTACATACTTCTTTCCTGAAATCCTCCTCTGATCAATACTTCCCTTTCAACATCTAGTTTTATTCTCCAACTATAGATTCTCTTCCAAAGCCAGTCTTACATTCTAAAGTCCATTTGTTTATTTTCTTCCCCCCTTAACTCTCAAGAAACTCTGAGCTAAACAAAATGCATAAAAGTATCTATAATACCTTCTCTAAATCTACAGCAAGAGGCTATAAACCAAATGCCATCAGCAGTTAGTCAGGCAATATTCTTGACAATCAACAGTGACAACTGCAATGACAATTGATACTTAGCTTCCTTGTAGAAGAACCAATAGGACATAGTAGTTATTGTGACAAATTCAAGAACCCATCCCTTATCTAAGGTACGGCAATTGCTACCAGCTCTTCCTAATTTTTTTAAATATAAGCTGGAAAGTCAGATTTTTTCTTAAAAGAAGAAATAAATCTGAATTTTCATATGAAATATACAATTAATTCACTTTTCTAAAAACAATGGTAGACCTGTATTTTCAAACTTTGATCTATAGCACATACTGAATTATTCTCTAATCGATTCAAACATACATACCTCATCACAAAACCTGGAGGAGTGCTAAGCATATTGCAGGCCCTCAGTAAAAGTTGATTGATGCTGTAACTGAGTCAATGAACTTATTCATACCCTTCACTTAGGGAGGAATTTCTGGACTGTTTCAGTGCTTGGGTAAGGTTAAGAAATATGACATTGAGTATGATGAAAATAAGGGAGATACAATCACTTTTTTCTTTCTAACCAATTAAAACACTACGGTTTTATACTTCATTTGTTATCAACTAAACCCTATGATTATGATAAACTAGTTTTAGTATACTGCACACCAGCTTTAGTGACTTCTTTATTCATGAATGACTACAGGCCTTTAATCAGTAACCATTGAAACTGTATTGTACTGGTCCATGTCTTGCATGTCACCAATCAGCCAGACTTATTCATTCTTTCCCTGTGAAAACACCACTAAATGTAATGACTTTAATGGTATGCTTAACCTCCATAAGGGAATTATAACATGAGAAAAAAAAAACCATGAAATTTGGAAGCAGACAAACTTGAGTTCAAATCCTAGCTATGACACTTGCTGTATATTCTTAAGCAAGTAATAAATTTATTGGGGGTCTCATTTTTCTCATCTGTAAAATGAGACAATAAACTCCACTTACAAAGCTGTTATAAAGAGTAAATAAATAATACAAAATGCTTGGCAGTTTTCCTGGCCCACAGTGGAGAATACAAAATATCAGTAGCAACTCCCTTTGCTTACTTAGTGTGTATCTCAGTTCAGAATGTTTTCTCTTTTTAGCTATAAAGTGGGTCAACTCATATTTACCTAGTATTCACAGTATTTTAACTTCCTATATAGCACTTGGAAACACTAAGAAAATTTGCCAGGTTTCAAATATGAAAGTGAGTAGATGGACAAACTAATATAACAAAAACACAATTACACAATTTACAAGTTGGTTCATTTCCTAGACATAAAACAATCCAAAGATTCCTTGCTATAAAACAACACTAATACACATTTCTAAAAGTGCTCTAAAGTGAAGGTTTTTAGTACAATAACAAATGTACACCACCGGTAGATAAAAAATTTGTGCATATGCGTATGTGCACATGGACACACACACACACACACACACACACACACACACCACTGGTGGATAAAGGGTCATCACTCTAAAAAAGTTAGTTTTTTCCCTAAGTATCAGATATATTCACAATTCAAGGTTTAATTTCATGATAGATGCCAAAGAGAAATTTATTCTTACATTCAAAATACACGTATTGAAACTTTGCTTTCAACTTAGATGAAGTTACAGGGACTTAATTTACTCTTCCATCTAAAACAACAAAATCACAGGACAAAATATAAGAAACAATAGTTTTTCAAGACACTCCACATCAAACAAAGGACAGTGTTTCCTGAGGGATGGGAAACAAATAAGGTGAGCCCTGCAACTGGCCCATCTTTCTGCCTTGAAAGAGTGTTCCAGGCTGGAGCACAGAAAAGGTGTCTTAGACTGTTTTGTGTTACTATAACAGAATACCACAAACTGGGTCATTTATTTTATAAAGGAATTCATTTCTCACAGTTCTGGATGCTGGGAAGTCCAAGGTGAAGGGCTTGCATATGGTGAAGACTTTTTTGCTGCATCATCCCACAACAGAAGGCAGAAGGGCAAGACAGAATGTATACAGACTTTTTAATGACAAATTCTGTCTTTAAATCGTATCTTTCCTAACTTATTTTACTGTAAGAAGTTAAAATAGCCATGCGCAGCATGGAGGACTTGCTGTTTAGATATTTCTTTCACCAGGTATCCTAGTGTACTAGGATACTATACTAGTGTATCCTAGTATACTCTTAACTTCCACCTTTCATAAAGCCTTCCGGCACGGACACTGTTCAGCCCAGTAACTTGCTACTTTATAACAAGGGTGGCCTTTGCTCTAGTTTCCAATACCTTGTTCTTCAGTTCCATCTGAAACCTCATCAGAACGGCCTTTACTGTCCACATTTCTTTCATTATTGTGGTCACAACCACCTAAGTAATCTCTAAGAAGTTCCAGACTTTCACTCATCTTCCCTATTTTTGAGCCTTCATCAGAACTGCCCTTAATGTACCATTCACAGCAATCCAAGCTTTTTCTACCTTGCTACACCAAATTCTTCCAGCCTCTATCCATTATCCAGTTCCTAAGCCACTTCCACATTTGTGGGTATTTGTTATAGCAACAGCCCTACTTCTCAGTACCAATTTTCTGTCTTAGTCCATTTTATGTTGCTATAACTGAATACCACAGATTCAGCAGTTTATAAAGAAAAGAAACTCATTTCTCACAGTTCTGGAAACTGGGAAGTCCAAGGTCAAGAAGAGTGCATCTGGTGAGGGCCTTCTTGCTGAGTCATTCCATGGCAGAAGGCAGAAGGGCAAGAGAGCACACAGGGGAAAGGAGCAAAACTCATCCTTTTATCAGGAACTTGCTCCTGCAATAACTAACCCAATCCCATAACAACAACATTAATTCTTTCATGAGGGCAGAGCTAATGCCCTAATCATGACCTAATAATCATCCTCATGACCTAATCATCCCTTGAAAGTCCCAACTCTCAATATTGTTACATTGGAGATTAAGCTTCTAACACACAAACTTTGGGGAACACATTCTAGTCACATCAGAGAGGGAACACAGGCAGACCCGCAGCAGACGCCGTAAGTAGAAAAAGTGGAGTGCAAAAATATTAGAGCAGCTAGAGTTTGCAAACAGAATATAAGAGGAGAGGGCTTCACAGAGAGGGAACACTGGAGAGTTCTTTAGTCCTCCCCATGTATTCAGCAGAATACTAATGTAAGGAATGAATGTAAGGAAACTGTGAAGCCCAGGAAATAACCACCTAAAAGATGAAGGGGAATCAGTATGCAATATGCACACAGTCTGGGAATAGTACCTCTGTATATCTCACACTGGTCCTGCTTCTCTAATCGAACACATACATACATATATAAAGAAACTTGTTACAGGGAATTGGCTTATGCAGTTATGAGGGCTGGTTAAGCAGCTTCTGTAACGCTGTGTCTCTGCATCTGATATAGAGTCCATCGGGAAGGAAGTCAGTAAGGGAATGTCAGGAAAAGACTATCGCAAGCAAGCTGAAACCCTGTAATCATGAGCTAGAACTCCATGAGGATAGACTGAAATCCATGTCTTTTCTTGTTGCCTTTGACCTTGGTGCAATGGTAATTTTTTTTTTTCTTTGAGACAGGCTCTGGTTCTGTCAACAAGGCTAGAGCGCAGTGGCACTTATCTCGGCTCAGACTCAAGACATCCTCCCACCTCAGCCCACTGACTAGCTAGGAATACTGGCTCATGCCACCATGCCTGGCTAATTTTTTGTATTTTTTATAGATTGGGGTTTCACCATGTTGCCCATCCTGGTATCAAACTCCTGAGCTCAAGTGATCTGCCTGCCTCAGCCTCCCAAAGTGCTGAGATTACAGGTGTGAGCCACCACGCCTGGCCAGGGCTCTTTTTTATGGAACTAAAAACACATACCTGGCTCATGAGTGAGGAAAAAGTGAAGAAAAATCCAGAGAAGGTAGCGCAGTTGTAGGCTCAGACACTGTTCATGCCATTGAGGTGAGTCAGCTACAAAAGTGCTTCCTTCCTTCCAGCTTCCAAATCATGAAAGATGAGTTCTTGTGACCCACCCAATCTGTAAACACACAAGAAAGGAAAGTCTGTGAAATGTAGTTCAGCCTAGCCAAGTTTTCGTTTTATAAAGCCATCATATAGAGAGAGAAAGAAGAAAGAAAAAAAACAACAACAGAGCATCAGTGAACTATGAACAACTTTAGCCTTAAATATGTGTAACTGGAGTTTCCAAAGTAGAGGAGAGAAGAGTGGGACAGAAAAATTCTAAGGAATAATGGAGAAAATTTTTCAAAATTTGATGAAAATTATAACTGAGGTCCAAGAATCTTAATGACCCTTAAACACAGGAAACATAAAATCTCTACTCCAAGGCACAAATAATCAAATTGCTCAAATTGTTCAAAACTAGTGATAAAGGCAAAATCTTAAGAACAGTCCGAGAAAAAAAAAATTTTACATATGAGGGACCAAAGATACAATGACAGCAGATTTCTCATTGTTTACAATGTAACAAGACGACAGTGGAGCCACAACTTTAAAGTTCTGAAAGAAAAAAATAAAATAGGCCAGGCATGAATGGTGCAAGCCTGTAATCCTAACACTTTGGGAGTTCAACAGGGAAGGATCACTTAAGCCTGGAGTTTGAGACCAGCCTGGGCAACCAACCTAGCAAGCCCCATCTCTATTACAAAACAACAACAACAATTGTCAACATAGAATCCTATACCCAACAAAACCGGTCTTTCGAAAATGAAGGTTAAATAAAAATATTTCAGACATGCAAAACCTGAAAGAATTCATCACATTCAGACCCACAAAGGAAGTTTGCCAGCAGACTTCAAAATAACTACAAAAAAATAACAGAGGAAGTTCTGCCAGCAGAAAGAAAATACCAGATAAAAATATGGATCTACACAAAAAATGAAAAGCACTAGAAATGGTAACTTTTTGGGTACATTTTTATTAAACCTCTTTAAAAGATAATTAACCATTTTAAATAAAATAAGAATGATGTAGTACAAAACTAAAATGTATAACAACACAAAAAGCTGGGAGGAAAGAAGTAGATGTACATGTTTGTTAAGTTCTAATACTGTATGTAAAGTGGTACAAAATACATGTACTAAACACATCCTATGAACAGGCATTTTTGGGCCCTAGTTACAATGATGAAAACAATTTATCCCCTCTCCTTGAGGAATTTGCCTCCTCCTGTACTCTCTCAGGAAGCTTAATCAGCTTTTATATTGAGCAGAAAAACTGTGGGGTAAGACCTCTTTTTAAAGTGACCTTCTTTTAAATGTTTCAGTTCTACACCGGCAATGCTTCATGGAGCAAATGACCTAAGATGCAGCCACTATTTTAATGTTAAAGAAATATGTGCCTGTAGATAAGATATATTGTTATATACTACCATTAAAGTTCATTCTATGGTGACAAGAAAGGACTGAAGGTTCCACCTCCAGGTCAACTGAGATTACAATCAACTTCTAAGCAAAAGTCCCCAAGTTCATTCACAACGAAGTTCTACAATTAATAATACTCAAACACATTTTCTAAACTTATTTCAATAAGATTGAAATTACTCCCATTTAAACAGATGTGATTCTAAGAATGTCTATTTTTAGATGGGAGTTGCATAAGTTGCCAGAAATGGATCTGGCAATGTCAAGGTTATGTCTTACTGAAAAACAGACATAATTTAACCTTTATGGGGGGAAATATGCTATCCCACATCTACCCTGGAGCAGATGGATACATGAGCATGAATGTAGGGAGAGAGTGGCAACGGGTGGGCCTTTTTGCTTCAAGCACCCCACCATGTACATACTTGTCCTTTCCTAAGGGGGTAATATATATAAATCTTGTGGCAGCAGAGGGGTTTTATTTCTGTTATTTATTCTGTATCCACCTTTCCTGCACTATTCCAGTGTAATCAAGTTGCATAAACTGACTGACACCATTCCAAGAAAAATTTTATTGTAATGAACCAAAGTGACTAGGGCTGTAATGAGATTTCATAAGAGCACAGGATCACAGGAAAAGAAAAGGGAAACACCAGAAAAAATGTATAATGTTCTAGCAACTGCCCCAACCTCACATCAGAATCAGTCACTTCCAAGCATTCTCATTGTACAACTCCTGGAAAAGGCTTTGAACTATAAAGCTTCATCTTCTGTGCCATACACTCTAGTAAGTGCTTGTGATACATTTTCTGATGCATTCATTACAAAATCCTTTGAGGTATAAATGATGATGTCCTTTTCACAGAAGACTGAGACTTAGAGAGGTAAAGTTTTCACAGCTATTCATGGCTACACAAGAATATGATGCCAGATCTAACTCTCAAGCCTAGACCCTTACATTCTATTCAAAGCATAAATAAGCCATTGGATCCAGCTATATTCAAATCACACATTGGACCATAAGCCACTACTACCCCAGAAGTCCACAAGGAAGATAAATTCTCAAGTGTCAGTGGTGAAGGAAAGAAAAATACCATGATTGCAGGTCAAGCTTATGACTGAAACCCCAACACAGAGCTGTTAGGAAAGCTGGGCTGGAACATAAAGCCAAGGATTAGAGGCCTCTGAAGCCAAATCCCTTCCCCAACCCCAACTTAACTCGTAGGACCAGCTGGCTCTATGGGAGGTGGGAAACGGAAAAGATGAGAAAGCTCCAAGCCACAGGAGATAAAAGGGAGAAAAGAAGGTGGTCAGGTCGGCCCCACAGAACTTCCAGGGATTTGAGAAAAGAGGATAAAAAGTGAGATGCATTTATGTACATGACCTGTCAACAAACAATAGTCTTGTCCTCTAGTAAATATGTCCATTCGAATGTCCCTAGAGCTTACCCCTCCAATTATCAACACCCCATCATGAAAGGAGAGTAAGCAGCTTTTGGGAGAGGTAATTCACCATAGGCCCTGAGGGTGCCTGCATGTTCTTATTGGTTTTGCCAAGAATGCAAGGCCCTGACCACGTCTTACCTTGGCCTCTTCTCAGAGTCGTGTTTGCAGGGAGCAGTCCCGAGGGATGAGGTAATATCGCCCCCCAAGACAAGCTTGTTACTGCTTATAATAAAAGCAACAGACTCCATAAGCACAGTGTTCCTCTCCTGTAATACAACCCACTGCATGTGTAGGCATCAATCAAGACCCACCTGTGTTGGAGTTGGGTCCAATCCATGGGTCTTAGATTTGTGGACATAGGAAACCAGCATTAACACTAAGCTCTGGCTACTGCTTTGCCATGAGTAATAAAGGCCTGTCTCTAACGCAAGAGTCTCAGTTTCAGTACCCATGAAACTGTGGCACGCTAACCTGTTAGCTTGCAAGTAGGATAAAATCTCAGACTCTTCACAGTTCTTGACAGCAGGAGGGTAGAATGAAGTGGAAGAAACTTGAATGCAATACTGCCCCTTCCTTAGACTAGAAGTTATGTGACATGGCCAAGTATCTGCATTCCCTCCTAATTAAGATCACCAGTGGGGAGTTGCTATGTTAGGGAAATTTCCTCATATTTACTGAGTTAACTCCATTTAGTCTTCAACCTCGCAGGCCTTGAAATTTTCTTATTCTGATATGCTTTATAAATTACATGTTGGTTTGGTTTAACTCTCCTTTTAGATTCAAAAGCTCTCTGAAAATAAGAAAAACTATTGACTCTTTAACACGTACATAATTTTGGTTTCTGTTCAATATTATACTCTGTGGATATATTAGCACATACAATGTGCTAATTGTCAGCATGTTGATCATCGTCACTATTAATGTTTTTAACTAAGAGCCTACAAATACAGAGCCCATTCACCCACCTTCCTTACTCTTCTCCCAGGAAAATGGAAGAGTACAAAGCATATGATATTAGGAAACAGGCCTAGGTAATGACTTTCTCTTCTGTGGCTCTTCTGATTCATTCTACAGAAACACTGACTCAATAATCATGTATTTTAGACACAGAGATAGCAACTAAATTCTGTTTTATTCATACCATGCACATTATTAACCACTTGGCAACATAGTTCTAGCCAGGAAATGTAATTTTAAACTCTCAGCTACTTAACTCTCATTTAAAGTTGAGATGTGAGAAATACTAGTTATGATCCTCAAAGGACATTCATTCTTTGGGGTTTCTCTTTGTAGCTGGTCTCCTGGAAATACCAGTCACATTGACTCATCACTTGGGAATAGTGATTTCCCATTTCACTAATTCAGTAAAGAGTCCCTGGAGTCTTCCCAGTTGTGGGAGGGCAGAAGCTGTCCATAGCGAGATTTGGATATCTGCTCAAAGTACTAGGCACACATTGGTTTTCCCCTTCAATATGTCCACATTTTCTTACCATTAAATATGCAAGATACAAAGGGCTTGTTTTAGGGTACCCACTCAGGAGAAGAAAAGCCTGCCTGGCCTGCTTTTACATAGAGGGCCTTAAGCCTTCATGCAGGCTATGCGGAAGTTCTCTTAGCCTCATGAAATTCAGCACAGTTCAGGAGAGTTTACAGTTTGGAGGAAAAGCTCTGTAGTAATAACCAGAGTTATTTAAACTGGAATTTTCCTTCTACTTATTGTCTCTTTACCAACCAGTCTGCAGTCAGGTTTATCAGTTTGGGTTCTTTGAGGAGCAGACATCAAGATGGGATTAGATGTGCAAGAAATTTATTGGGCGAAATGTCTGCGAAGGGCAGAAGAAGAAAGGTTGAATTAGAAGAATCTTAGACGTCAGCACAAATCTAAGAAAGTTCAGCCAGGCCAATGGAGAGTCCTTGAGCCAGAGTCGCCTGTCAAAGGAGTTCCACATCTCCCAAGAACAGGACTGCCGTAGCATCTTTGTTGTGCTCAGTCATTGGCTAGGAATAGCTGATGGGAAGTGTGGCCTCAGCGGGATGCAATGCTGAATTCAGAGCATAGCAGCTGGGGCTGTTCATCAGTTATGCCCACTGAAGCAGGAAATCTGAGTGGTACATTATCACATCCACCACGGTAAGCAGCCTAAGGATAGATGAGGACCCAAGTTTCTAACCAGACAACACATCCTCATGACCAGCAGATATAAGAAACAGCTGCATAAAACCCATCATTGCCTTCATTGTGGGCAAACTGCTAGGGATGCTTCCACTACATCACAGTGTTCCCTTTATGAGGGCCCAAGAATAATACCTCCTGTGGCTCAGGGCCTGGCAAAGCTATTCCTCCTGCGCAACTGGTATGTTTTCATCCTGTATACATAAAGATTTTCTAGCTGATTTCCTCTTTGTCTTAACTATCAGAAAGTTAGAACCAGACTGGGGGTTCTACCTTCAGCTTTAGGTGCTTTTCTTTTTCATTTATTATCTTCTATAATTCCTTTACTCAGCACAACTGTTCTCTGTGAGTGATCTAAAATGCTTTTCTGAATTAAGACAAGAAATAAGTACCTTAACCTAGGCTGGTACCATTTAGAACTTAAAAACACTAGATTTTAAATGCTTCAGTTTATTCTTTTTATGATAACTTCACATACAGGTCAAATTCTTTCACTCTAAACCAGTGCTATCTAGTAGAAATACAGCATGAGCCACACGTAATTTTAAGTCTTTAGTAGCTACATTAAAAAGGTAAAAAGAAATAGGTGAAATTAAGACAATTTAAGTCTTTGGAAGCCTACTGTATATTTTCTACTTATAGCACATCCCAATTTAAATCGGCTATACTGCAAGTACTCAATGGCCACATGTGGCTAGTGGTTTCTGTACTGGACACTGGAGGTCTAAACACAAAGACTATGAATCATGAGAGTTAGAAGAGCCTTAAGAACCACAACTGTATCTGATGTGTATTCATATTGGCTCTGATTAAAGATTTCTGAGGTCCTGGGGGTTTCTTTCTTCTTTTTTTTCTTTTTCTTACTCCTGGAGATTTCTGAGGCAAACACTAAATCTAAGAAAAGATGAGTTCTCCTGACAGGGGTAATGACCATGAAACCCTAAGATTTCTGGAATTTTTCTTTTAATTTCTCTATGTTTGTAATTTTTTCTTCACTGGATCACCTTTGGCTTCTTCTGAGAAATAATGTAAAATACTCATGTACATTCACTAAGAAACAAATAGAGATGCATTATCTAGATTAAAAATTATTTAGAAATTAGAGTGTTAAGAGTATTAAAGTAGGCCACAAAATTGAACTAATAAAAGTACTTTAAAGCACACTTATTTAGATATTTTGACACTCCTTGTTTTGGAGCCAGCTCTAGAACTTTACACCTCAATTTGGGATAAGAAGAGTGTTTTCCATTTGAACCAGGGCTGGAAGACCACAAATGTGGTTAGATTTCTGAGAGTTAAGAATTTGATTTTTTTTCAGGCATTAACCTGCAAAAGCCTCCATCTCCGTACCTGGTGCATAGAGTAATGCTTACCTTATAAAATAGCTATGAAGATTAATAATGTTATATATAAGCTTTGTAACAGGCAAATAGTAAATACTAAATAAATGGCACTTATCATCATTGTTAATCACAAAAGACTGTCAAATTCAGGTATTCTTAATCTGGGGTCTGCAGATCCTTGGCCCATGGGTAAAACTGCGGGGATGGAGATCCCTAAAATTGGATGGGGGAAAAAAATTACATCTGCACTTTCATTAACCTCTAAGCAAAATTTACCATTTCCTTCCATTATGAATAAAGGCAACATAATAGTATTAGAAGGACCTGTCGCTTTGCACCAACAGAAGTCACACATACTTTCACATTAAATTTCTGATGTTACAGACATCACAAAATATCTCTTAACGTTTATCAGCTTTTTGAAATTATAGTATTAGACGTAATCTTGCTAAATGTTATTAGTGTATTAATACATGTTATTAATGTATTTTTAAAATTTCAATATAACTTGGTTTCCTTTGTAATCCTATGTAATTTATGAACTTAAAACTTAATTTCTCATTATTCTGAGAAGGGGTTCAGCAGCTTCACAGGATTGCCATGGCACACACAGAAAAGTTAAGAATCCCTAAATTTTAGTCTATCTCTTTGCTTCCAGAAAGCCAACCAAGTTTGACAACTGAACACCTGCCTGAGCCAATTCCCAGTCTCGGGTTTATTTTTCTGTGCGTGACTTGATAGGAAGATATTACAGTCTGGTACATGACTCCATCAGTTAACCTATTTGCTGAGCTCACCTTCAGCTTATACCTGGCATCTTTCCTGAATTCTGTGTTGAGCCTTCTGAGGCACACACAATGAGCTGACAAGCTGATTTTGTGGTATGTTCTGTTCACACACACCTGGCCCCCACTAGATGCCAGGCCCATGATGAAGCTGGGCAGTGATTCTCAAGCCTGATTCCAGACCAGCAGGCAGGATCAGCGTCACCAAGGAGCTTATGAGAATTGCAGATTTTCAGTTCACACCCTAGACTTCCTGAACAGAAATTCTGGGGTCTATCAGTGTTTTCTCAAGCCCTCCAGACACACACGCTGGAGTCTGAAATCCACCGTGCTAGGGAATAAGAGGTCCGTCCAATCCTGGAAAGAGAGGCTCCCATCTCCAACCATGGTTGAGACTAACAACGCTCCTGCAACTGGGGTTGGAATTTCAATGCAGGTAGGGCTGAGGGGTGGCCAATGAGTTGAAAGCCGGAGCAAGAGGACTTGTTTTGTTCCTGCACCCCGATTTTACTTACATTACCCGGGGCCTCGAGAGTGACTGATAGAGATTAGCCCTGAGCGTCGGCCCCTCGGCGCCGCCACTGCACGGCGAGAGAAGGGGAGTCAAGAGGGACGCTTGAGTCCCTTGACTGTCCTCCCCTACGAGCTCGCTGTGAAGACAGCCCCAGACCTGCGAACTCTGGGAAGCTCTGCGGCCGCTTGAACACTTCCCGCGTCTTCCGCCCGGCGCTAGAGGGCGCACTCCGTGACTGGAATTGCGGTCTCGGCAGCCCCCAGCCTCTGGCTTTCCCGGCTCCGCTGCCTCCGGAAAACTACAAGTCCCAGGATGCCCTGCGCGGGAGGGTCACGTGGGAGGGGCGGCCGGCGCGGCTAAATAGTCTCCATCGGCCATTTTGTGGGAGAAGCCGCAGCGCCGCCTCTTCTCTCGCGTCCTCGCATCCGTCGCCGCCGCCTCTTCCTCCGCCTCCTCCTTCGCCTCTTCCTGCCTCCTCCCGGCTTCCGCCGCCGCCACTCCAGCCTAATCCCAACCCCAGGGCGAAGCGTTTCCTTATTTATTTCCGTTTTCTCGCCACTACAGCCTCCTGACACGGTGATCCGGGCGGGCCCCGCAGGAATTTTATCCCCTCACCGGCCTCACACTAGTATCGCATGTCCACTATCCAGAACCTCCAATCTTTCGGTAAGATCCCGTCGCCGCCGCCTCCCTCCCTTGCCCCGCGCGCCTCTGGGCCCGCTGCCCGCCTGGATCACCGCCCCTAGGGGCCCCCTTTCTGCCCTCCCCGCACCCCTAGTGGGGCTTTGTCTCGGCGCCCAGAAAATGGCGACGGGGCCCCTGGCGACCCCCTCCCCGAGGACAGCGCCGGACTGCGAACCCTCCTCTCGGAGCCCCGGCCGCGGGCCATGCGCCACCCCCTGCCCCGTCCTTGACCCGGCTCTCGCCTCCACTTCTGCCCCTGGAAACCTTGGCGACCCTATTTCGTGGACTCCTAGATCGGCCCTGCTACTTGCAAAGGGGATGCCGGGCCAGGGGAATTACGAATCGGCGCCCGTTCTCTGGCAGCCCCTGGGGGCACCTAGGGAAAGATGCGGATGCAGGCCTCTGATCTGTCACTGGCCAGTGGTTCAGTCTTCTCTGCTTGCGTAGCAATTTGTAAAATTACGCCTCTTGATATATATCTAATCTACTTTTTTTTTTGGCAAGGCACAGTTACGGTTAAATGATTAGGGTGGGCATATTCGAATGTTTATGTTTTCCTCAGAATGTAATCGAGATGACGCACATTTTTATAGTGGCTACAATATTAAGGTTTTCTAAGTCTCCTTTTTCTCGTTAGAGGACCATATTCAACGATAACATCTATAACAACGTTTTTCTACAATGGACATAGCTGTCCAAATGTTTCTCTTTTTGTGAGAGTACCTTGGGGGTTTTATTAATACTCCACCCCCATCTCCATTCCTACCGGCAGAAACAGCAAAGATACTAGAACCTTCACTGATGACTGTCAGGATTGGTAGTATAATGTATTTGTGGAAAGTACTTCCTAAAAAATATTTTTCTACTTTGGATTTTTTTTTTGTATCCGTTTGCAGACCCCTTTGCTGATGCAACTAAGGGTGACGACTTACTCCCGGCAGGGACTGAGGATTACATTCATATAAGAATCCAGCAACGGAACGGCAGAAAGACACTGACTACTGTTCAGGGCATTGCAGATGATTATGACAAAAAGAAACTTGTGAAAGCTTTCAAAAAGGTAAAGGGATTAGGAAGAAAGGATTAGAGTTACTGGTGCACACCTCTGAACTGGATTATAATTCACACCTTTATATCAGCGTGGATGAAAATGACTAGACCAAGAAAGCTGTTCTCATGTTTGTAATTAACATGTAAATATTTAGTTATTCTCCCGGTGTGGTCTCTCATTTTAAAAGAAGATTCACGTGGCTTTCAAATAAACTTAAATGTGAAATATTTAGTTCTTGATGTTACACATAAAATCATTTCCTGGTTTACAAATTAAATTGGAAGGATTGTGGATTATAGAAGACAAAATCTGTTTCTCTAAATATGATCTAGCTCACTGAAATGGTTAATTCTGTTCTTATGGTGAAATAAAACCTCATATTAGTTGACTAAATTTTGTTGTATATTTATGCACTTTTCCAGAAATTTGCCTGTAATGGTACTGTGATTGAACATCCTGAATACGGAGAGGTTATTCAGCTTCAAGGTGACCAAAGAAAAAACATTTGCCAGTTTCTCTTGGAGGTGAGTGAGTGGGTGCTTTATGTGTAACCTTGAGATTGCTTTTAACATCGTATTTAAAGGCAACATGATTTGTTTTCTACTAAGTAAAAATCATACGAATGAAGGAAATTAGGTGAAATAAAGACATGGTACTTATTTGGAAAGTAAAGACCTCTGTCAGGTTTATTTTGTCATTAGAGTATTCTGATCATTTCTGTATATACAAACACGATATTTCTTGGTATGTAAAGTATTCAAATATGTGTTGAATTGTTGGCTATCAGCAGTGCATGCCACAGACAACAGTGTTGCAATAAGCTGTTGATAGTGATTCTTTTTAATTTCTCTCCCATGTTTTCTTAATGAATTTATGTATTTCTCAGAGTTATTTTGCTAAATTAAATTTTATTTTACAGGTTGGCATTGTCAAGGAGGAACAGCTTAAGGTTCATGGATTCTAAAATGAACCTAAATACGTGGAGAATTTCTTGAATAGTTTTGTTCTCTAAACCTGGTTTGGCTGCCTTGTGAAATGATTGCCTGCAGTAAACGGACTTTTCATTTATTTAATCATTCAAACTTGCATTCACATCTGCATGATTACAGAAAACATGGGGTATGTAGGCTAGTAACACATAAGAAAATTGCAGTAAGATGGTAACAAAACCTCATATTCGTCTTTACATGTTTCCAATGGAAAATGTTTCGAGTGTTTATTGTTCAGTTTATTACGTTTCACTTGATTAAATGTTTTTTGTTGTATTAAACCATGTACGTTGCAGCTTAACAATAAAAAAAAAAATCTATGAATCCTTGTGAGCAATTATGCTCCCAAATCGAAGCAAGTAAAATACACGTTTTGTCTTTCTTAATTGGAGTTCTCATTCTGCAGATATTCCTTCTGATTAGCTTCAGCTGTTATACCCAGCGCTTAGAGGAGAACCTTTGTTATATGTAGCTTCTGTTTTTCATTTACTGATTTAAGAATAGAAGCAGGAGTAGAAATTCAGCCAGAGCCACTATTCATGGCAAAGCAAGTGAAAACTGTCAAAGAATTGATCAGATTGTAGTATTAAATGTTGTTAAAGAGTATCAAGTTTAACAATATTAGCACATAGAGTTCTCTTCTGTGTTCTTATCAGTTGTTACTGAGTTGCCAACATAAGTCTATCCCTAAGTACCAGATACTGTAATAGCCTTGTGACATAAAGTATATTTAGTAGTCACAGGCATTTCCCTGCAAGTGGAGGTTGATGGTATCACTGTCTTACAGATGGAAAACATTTGGCCTCAGGTTAATTTCCCAAGGGTGTTAGAAAGTGACAGGGTGTCAGCCCAGAGATTCCAGCCAGGAAATTTCTTTCACTACATCATGGTTTTGGTATGTGTTTCACCAAAGGGAACCAGAGCCACAGATGACAATGACCAGGGGTGGTAGTGGTGTAAGAAATAATGACCAGCCACGGTGTCTCATGCCTATAATCCCAGCACTTTGGGAGGCCAAGGTGGGCAGATCACTGGAGGCTGGGAGTTTGAGACCAGCCAGGCCAATATGGTGAAACCCCATGTCTACTAAAACTGCAAAAAATTAGCCGGTGCACACCTGTAGTCCCAGCTGCCTGAGGCTGAGGCATCAGAATCTCTTGAAACTAGACGGTGGAGGTTGCAGTGAGCCAAGGTGGAACCACTGCACTCCAGCCTGGGCAATAGAGCAAGACTCTCTTAAAAATACATATAATTTGCAGTTCTTAATTAAGAGATTTCTGCAGCTCATCTTGAGTTCTAGGCTCCTTTCTATTAAGTAGTAGTTATTTACTTGGTTGTACGAGCCATGCCACTAAAACCATTTAGCCAATGCAAAGAAATGCATCGACAGGGGCAAGCTTTTTAGCTTACTACAGTTGGATAAGGATGGTACGGGAAAAAAAAAGTCTTATTTTGGGACCAGTGAGCCCTAATGAGCCCTTGCCTGTATTTTGGTGATACTGGTTTTTGGGAAAACAAAATCAGCCCCCACAAAGTTGCCCCTTAAAGACAGTAAGTGATAAATAGGTTTGTTATTTTCTCACCTCATCCTTCCTCCAATACAGTAAGACAGACTATTAAGAGGTATACACCAGAATATAGACCCAAATTTGATAAGCTCATTTCTGGAAAACATCAGTATAGTTTGATGAAGATCAAGAGGTTTGGGAGAATTTTCTAAGTTATTAAGAACCTGCTACGTTTTCATCTGTAATATTGTATAATAGCACCCTGTTGAGGAGTGCTATGGAAATAGTAAAGCAGAAGTTTATATTAACAACCACATTCAAGTGCAGCCTAAATAAATACATCTGCTGAGAGCTGAGCTAGTGCCAAGAAAAGAATGTATATTAGATGGGAAAGAAAGCACCCCTCATCCTGGGACCCATAGACAAGCTCTGTAGTAATCACTTCCTGTGTCAGTCCAAAGTGGGTGGGATTAAAAGGCTTGAGGAAAACTGAATTTCATGAAGAGCACCTTTCCTGATTCTCTTCCTTCAGCCTATGAGTTCCAGACACCTGATTGGACTTTGAACTTGTGTGGCAATTCCAATCTTTAGAGCAAGAAAGAGACTAGGAGGCATTGTGTAACTGTGGAGGAAAGATAACATGTCTTAGAGATGCAGCAAATTGGCAGTAGCCAAACTGGATATCTCTCTGTGTCCTCCATGTTGGAAGGTCTTGATATGCAGTTTCTTTAGTGGTTTATACTTCAGGGTGCACAATGCATAATACCAAGTAGAAGACAAATAGGTTTATCCCTAGACTTTTACACTTGGAGACACCATTAGGAAGTTAAGACCTTTGGTAGAATCATAGCCTGGAGTAAAGTGCTGCTGGCAGCAATGTCCTCTGCCTTTCAGTCCTGGCTCTCCTGAGGCGGAGGAAACCCCACGGAAGCAGTCTGATCAACCTGCTTAGGAACTTGAGTAACAGGAACCGTTCTCTTAACCATTCTAGAAACGGGGTGGCTCTGATCATATGGAAGGGACAGTTCTAGTTCCAGTCATGATGGCAGTTAACCAAAAGAACTTGAGAAATATGGAGTGGTAATGCAGGCTTCTGTGTGCCATTTGTATGCCACCAGCCTGGCTCCACCTAATGGAATGGGTAATGACAGCTTGGGAAAAGGCAACCTCATTCGACCGCCTCCACACACCAGTTGCACTGGGTTTCTGAGGACTCTGCTTACCAAGCCAGAGGTCCATTTGGGAGAGAAACAAAGGCATGATCCTGCTGTAACTAAATCCAAGGAGTCCTTAATTGTGGACTGTGATGACTTGACAAGCAAGAGGTAGCCAGGTGACATTGTGCTTGTCTGGGATCAAAGGGCCAAGTGAATCAGCTAGAATTAAGCAGGAGCAAAATTATATCAGGAGGCCTCAGCATTGAACACTCTTCACATAGTCATGTAGGCACTTAACTCCTTCTTATCTAGATAATGGAAGCATGGAAAAAAAATCATAAATCAGAGGAACAGGCTATATTTCCTCCCTCCTGGAAAACCATTCAGAGGGGAATTAATACTGATGAGAGGAGGGAATGCCAGACTCCTCCAATGTTCCTTACCCAGCATCATTGTGTTAGATGACTTTAGGGATTCTCTGAGCTACACAAGAGAACATAAAATGGCATTTTAAGACTGGGTGCGGTGGCTCACACCTGTAATCGCAGCACTTTGGGAGGCCAAGGCAGGTGAATCACCTGAGGTCGGGAGTTCAAGATCAGCCTGACCAACATGAAGAAGCCCCACCTGTACTAAAAATACAAAATTAGCTGGGCGTGATGGTGCATGCCTGTAATCCCAGCTACTCGGGAGGCTGAGGCAGGAGAATCACTTGAACTCTGGAGGCGGAGGTTGTAGTGAGCCGAGATCGCGCCCTTGCACTCCAGCCTGGGCAACAAGAGTGAAACTCCATTTCAAAAAAAAAAAACTGAAATGGCAATTTAAACTCAGCATTGGCTTGTAAGGATGCCATTGTGGGTCAGGTTGGCTCACCTGGTAAGTCGTCAGTCTGATTTTGAACCTACCACGGGTAGCAGTAGATCTGCTGTGGTATGTAGATAACTCTGCACCCTGTGAACTGAGGGCCCTGATGCTGCATGATGCTGGATCTAGGTGCCTTCATCTCAAACTAGTGAACAGCCTACAGACATATTTCATGCAAAAAGCAATGACATATATAGAAGAGCGCCATTCATTCAAGGCACAAAAGAAGTTTAAAGCCCCCACAGGGAATCTAATTGATCTCAGGCCTCACGCTGGACTTCAACTGCAGCTCCCTGTTCTAGCCTAGAAGGTTTTGAAGGGCCTCGGGTCTATAGAATGGTCCAGAAGGAGGCTAGCTTTAATCCCAGAGTTTGTCTCCATGTGTCCTTTACCCATTCTTACCAGGACCCCAGACCCCACCTCCCGAGTCCACTGAGCAAGGAACAACATATTGTCTGGAGAGTAGAGAGAGAACTTTTTAAAAACGTTTTTATTTTATTTATTTATCTATCTATCTATCTATCTATTTATTTATTTATTTTTGAGACAGAGTTTCACTCTTGTTGCCTAGGCTGGAGTGCAATGGCGCGATCTCAGTTCACCACAACCTCCGCCTCCCGGTTCAAGCTATTCTCCTGCCTCAGCCTCCTGAGTCGCTGGGATTACAGGCATGCGCCACCATGCCCAGCTAATTTTGTGTTTTTAGTAGAGACAGGGTTTCTCCATGTTGTTCAGGCTGATCTCGAACTCCCGACCTCAGGTGATCCGCCTGCTTCAGCCTCCCAAAATGCTGAGATTACAAGTGTGAGCCACCTGTAATTTTTCTATTAAAAATACAAAAATTAGCCAGGCATGGTGGCACACTCAGGAAGCTGAGGCTAGAGAATCAGTTAAACCAGGGAGGCGGAGGTTGTAGTGAGCCGAGATCACATCACTGCACCCAGCCTGGGTGACAGAGCAAGACTCTGTCTCAAAATTAAAATTAAAAAAAAAAAGAAAAAGAAAAAAAAGACCCACCCCCACCCACTTCCTGATCATAAACATCCACTCTTAGTGCATCACTGCCATTGACTTGTTAAAGAACACGGAAAAGCTTAGCCCAATACTAGCATCATGAAGAATAGTAAATGAGTGGCCAGACACACTGAATGGGAACCAGTAATAGCCCACTTGGTAGATGAAGTATGTTGTAATGAAATACAGGGTACCCGGTGAATGATGCTATTACAGAAGAAATTGAAGGGGGCCGATTCCTGCAAGTATGCAGTCCTTTATCACCCCCTTGTGGCCACTTAAACAACTGGGAGACTCCTGGCAGTTTACATACATTACGAAGGTTTAAGTTGCAGTCATCATGAAAGCACCAGCTGACAGGTTTGATTTTGTCATCACTCAAATGTGATCCAGAAATTAATCTAGCCAATCACTTATTATTATAATTCATATAAATCAATTGCAATTTTTCTTTACCTGGGAGAGACAACAATGTTTTCATGGTCTTGCCCTGGGGATATATAAAGTACCTCAGCTGCTATCTACCATGGTGGTGGTAGCAGGAATTTAAATGTAAACAGAGACTTCTGTTTATAGCCTTCAGGGAATGAATGATTAAGCTAGAAAACAGTCAAGACTCCTAAATTGTCGCTTGCTGAGAAACACAATCTGGAATTTGGATACACACACCCTAAATAGTCAGTGCTGTCAGTCTAAACCTCTGTCTTAGGCCAAAACACAAGTTAATATGCCTTTCACTTACAAGGTTGCCTAAAGACTTTTGTCTGGGAAAAGTAGTGTCAGGATTCCTTA